TAAAATATGCATTATCTTAGTGTGTTACAAGCATGATTTATGAGTGTTTAATGCATATTTCGTGTTTAGATCGAGGATAATGCTGTTGTTTGTGTTCTTATATGTAGGTATTGGCTCAAGATTGAAAGATTTGATGATCGTTGGAAGTTTTACAAGAGTTTGAAGCAACAACAAGATTTTGAAGGAATGGTTCGTGAAGAAAATGGATGCACGAGTATGAAGAACTGGAATTTCGACCATGATGCAATTTGAATCAAGAAAAACTCAAAAGATGAAAGTTGTAGATCTCTTCAACAGGATTCCAATGCAACTTGAATCACCTCATTCCGAGGTCGGACGCAAAAGTTATAGCCAAAATACCGAAAACTGAAGAAACAAGCACAAAATCAGCAAAACAGCCCCTACCACACCCTGGTGTGGTGCAGACCACACCGGTGGCGCGGGAATTAGTTATTTTCTAGATTTTTGGGGACATATAAATAGATGTTTTGACTTAGGGTTTTGGATATCTTTTGTTTTCTTCTTTTAGCCATCAACTAGCAACTATTCTAGGGTTCAAGTACTAAAGGAAGACATTAATCTCTTGTAGAAGATTGGATTGCAAGTTCTTATTTTGAAGATTTCAATTGAAAGACGGGTTAATTCTTTCCTCTCTTTGATTTATTTCTTCTTATGATTGATTTGCATAATTATTTGATGTCTTCTCTTATTCCAATCATGTGTGAGTAGATTTCTTGTCTAGGATTGGGAAAGAACCTAACTTTTTGGTGATTGATGATGAATTGATATAGGTTCTTGGTGAAAGTTTAAATCTTTGAACTTGATTTCTTGTGTTTTAATCTTGTTGATTCGCTTGATCACCGGATTAGCAATCATAGGTAATTAATTAAAGGACTGAAAGGTGAAGATTAATACCGAATCTCTAGAGATTAAGCAGGGAGCTCGAACCACGAAAGTAGGCTAGATTCCTTGGGGATTTGATTTGGATTAGCATAAAGCTTAATGGGTTTAATTTAATCTTGATTCCACGAAAGTAGGTTAATTGAGATTGATTAGGCACGATCTTTAGACCTTGAAAGAGGCTTTAGATTAATTTAGGCTAATTCACCCTTTCTAGATTAAACCAACACCAAGAATTGAAATAATTCATCATTGAACACCTAAGTTGTGGTGATAACCCAATCCTAGTCCTTCATTATATTGAATTCCATCCGATTAGTTGTTTATTTTATTTCTTTTATTAAATCTCTTCTAATTTACTCATTAGTTTAGCTAGTCTAATAACGTAAAATTTGGTAATTAACCCTAGTCCCTGTGGGATCGACCTTGATAGCTACAACGAGTCTGTGCGCTTGCAGATTTTGCCCATCAAGTTTTTGGCGCCGTTGCTGGGGACTACGGTGTTAATATTGAGTGCTTACGTTATTAAGCTAGACTAGATTTTTTTTATTTCCCTTTGCTTCTCACTTTCTTTTATGCAAGGGAATCAAACAGAAGTAAACGACGAAAACAATCCTGAACTATCAGTGACTCTTGCAAACATAAGAAGGTCTATAAGGGAGCAAAGGAACACAGAACAAGCTACGATGGGAGATCAAAATCAGCTTCTTAAGGATTTCGCAGCCCCAAATTCTCAAGGCACACAGTCAAGCATTACAAGGCCCAATGTTGAAGCTAATAACTTTGAGCTGAAACCATCACTGCTCTCAATGGCTCAGCAGAATCAGTTTGGAGGAGGTGCTACTGAAGACCCGAACCTCCACCTATCGATTTTCTTGGAGTATTGCGACACTTTGAAACTTAATGGAGTGACCAATGATGCTATTCGACTCAGATTATTTCCATTCTCTCTAAGGGACAAGGCTAGGGCTTGGTTGCACTCATTGCCAGCTGGGTCCATCACCACTTGGGATCAATTGTCCAGAGCATTTCTTGCAAAGTATTTTCCTCCAAGTAAAACAGCACAGATGAGGAACCAGATCACATGTTTTGTACAGAAGAAAGGAGAGTCACTCTATGAAGCTTGGGAACGCTACAAGGAATTATTGAGGATGTGCCCTCACCACGGACTGGAGAAGTGGTTAATTGTTCCCACCTTCTACAACGGGCTCACTTACAACACACGGATGACTGTTGACGCTGCTGCAGGAGGAGCTTTGATGAACAAAACAATTGACGAGGCATACACTCTCATTGAAGACATGGCTCAAAATCACTATCAATGGGCGAACGAGCGTACTCCTCAGACATCAAAAGGAGGCAAGTATGAAATAGATGCTTTAGACTATATATCCTCTAAAGTTGATGCTTTATTTAAGAAAGTTGAAGGCTTGAGTATTAATTCGGTGACGTCTACTTCAATTTCATGTGAGATATGTGGCTATGTGGGTCATTCTGCACTTCAATGTCAATTAGGAAACCCCCCATCCATTGATACTTCTGGTAATGAGCAAGTTAACTATGTTAATAACTTTAATCAGAAGGGAGACCCATTCTCCAACACTTATAATCCGGGGTGGAGGAATCATCCTAATTTTTCTTATAGAAACCCACCTGGAAATTCCATGCCCGCATCTAATTTTGATCCTCCTGGTTTTCGTCCCCCTCAATCCAATTTCCCTTCTCAAAAGTCAAATTTGGAAAATATGATGGAAAAGTTTGTGATGACTCAATCAAAATTGAATGAAGAATTTAAGCAACAACTACAAACCATGAATGAGGTAGTAAAACAATTGGCCTCTAAGATGGATTCCCTAGCTACGCATAACAAGATGTTAGAAACACAAATCACTCAATTAGCGCAAAATGCTAGCTCTTCCTCTAGGCCTTCAGGCATGCTACCTGGACAACCTGAGACGAATCCCAGAGGTCATGTGAATGCTATAACCCTTAGGAGTGGAAAACAATATGAGGGACCTAAGATGAAGGAAAATGATGCGGTAGATGGTCATCATGAAGAGAAAAATAAAAATGTGATAGATGTGGATACTGATACCCAGATGCAGGAAGAAGAGAAAGCTGAGAAATATGTGGCCCCCGCTCCTTATAAGCCTCCTCTACCCTTTCCCCAAAGGTTAGCTAAGGCTAAGTTAGAAAAGCAGTTCAGAAAATTTTTAGAGATTTTGAAAAAGTTGCACATCAATATCCCGTTCACTGAAGCTATTTCTCAAATGCCTTCCTATGCTAAGTTCTTGAAAGAGATCCTATCCAATAAAAGGAAGTTGGAAGAATACGAGACTGTGGCCCTTACTAAGGAGTGTAGTGCTATCATCCAGAATAAGCTGCCTCCTAAGCTTAAGGATCCAGGTTCATTTTCTATTCCTTGTGTTATTGGTAATGTCTCTATTAACCGTGCTTTGTGTGATTTAGGTGCAAGCATAAGTTTGATCCCAATGTCCATCTATAAGAAGCTTGGCATAGGAGATTTGACTTGCAAACCATTACTCAGCTGATCCACTCGAGAAGTGTTTGGTAAGTGACGATTCAATAAATGATGAAGACCCGGAGGTAGTCGTGTATGCTCAATCTTTAGAATCAACATCAACTGCTCCATTTCGAAATGCAAAGTTTGAAAGTCTAAAGTTAAAGTCAAAAGGTTCTACTTGTGAAGAGGATAAAGCACCCATAGGCATGACATCGTTCAAGTTGGTATATGACAAATCGTGTCATCTCCCAGTTGAGTTAGAGCACAAGGCGTATTGGGCTATCAAGTTGCTAAATTTCAATATGAAGACCGCAGGTGAGGAAAGAAAGCTTCAACGTCATGAGCTAGATGAGTCACGATTAGAATCCTATGAGAATGCTCACATTTATAAAGAAAAGACTAAACGATGGCACGATAAGAATATCCTTCGAATAAAGTTTAATCAAGGAGATATGGTATTACTTTTCAACTCTCGTTTGAAGCTTTTTCCGGGCAAGCTCAAATCTCGGTGGTCCGGACCTTTTCAAGTCCGTGAGGTTTTTCCTAGTGGAGTTGTTGAAGTTTGGAGTGAAACAACGGGATCTTTCAAGGTGAATGTGCAACGATTGAAACACTACATTGTTGGGGAACAAAACGAGAAAGTGGTCACTTATACCCTTTCCGATTCCCCTTTGTCGGAGAATTGAGGCAAAAGGGGTCGAGCTCATGACCATAAACGAGCGCTTCTTGGGAGGCAACCCAAGTTTTCATTCATTTTTTTTATCTTATTTTATTTCATTTTAATTTCATTTTTTTTAATTTTTAATTTTTTTAGGCAATTGGATCGGCACAAATTTAACTTATAATATTTTTGATCGTGCAGTTGTGAAGAAATGAAGACATTGAAAAAAAACTGCAGAAAAAGGAGTTAAAGATGGAGTGGCAGAGCCTACCACACCCAAGGGTGGTGTACACCACACCCACGGTCCACAGAAAAAAAATACAGACTCTACCACACCCATCTCCCACACCCGTGGGTCGCTGGTAAAAAAACAAAAAAAAAACCCACTCTTCAAACCAGCAACATAACCACATCCCCTTTGCCCTAACCCAAATCGACAACCCATCAGCGACCACCCTTCACCACCATCGCCGGCCATCCTCCTTCTCTCCGATCATCAAACCAACCGCCGCCATCTTCACCATCACAGACCATCCGTCACCTCCTTCTGACTAGTGATTCTTCGAATCAACGACCACCCTTCACGACCATCACCGCCCTCACCCTCCACATCATCTCCGACCGGAGCACAGCCGTCTCCCTCCATCACCACCACTGCGGCCCAAACGCCTCCTCCTCTAGATCTAACAACCGAAGCCGCTCTACCCTCCTCCTGCAGAAAAACAATGATTGCAAGGTGAGATGATGGAGGAAGGGCACCAGAAGCTACACAATAACACCAGTCCTGATGTTGTGGTAATTTGTCAGGCACTTATAGGTTATGTTAGTAGTGACTTTGATGTCAATGTTTACTGGGACAGCTTGAACAAAATTGGTGTAACAAAGGAACGCTTATTATGCTATGACTGGGCTATTCACTCAGAACCACATTTTAGGAGTGACCAGAAGGATGACCTTTTACGTGATTTGGGAAACTAGTTGAGGACTCTGAAGGCTGTTCACTCAGGTGCTGATCTTGAGTCTGCAATTGCAACTTGCATGGGATATAAAGCTGAGGTAAGTTTTCATGCTTAACCTACTCTTAACCTACTCTGAAACATACTATCTGTCGATGATACTTGATGGAGCTTCAATATTTTTTCAGGGTGAAGGGTTCATGGTCGGGGTTCAGATAAATCCTATAAGGGGCTTGCCATCTGGATTTCCTGTAATTTTTCGGACTTATTTTAATAATATATGTAATTGTACCTCCCAGTATATATTATTCTTTTCAATTTGTTCGATAGGATCTGTTAAGATTTATTCTGGAACATATTGAAGACAAGATGGTGGAGCCTCTGCTTGAGGTGAGGGCACTAAAAATGTGCACAATTTCAATTTCGCACATGCATTATTTCAACTTGCATCTGCTGTTCTTAGGATTGCTTGATATACACTTTTGCTTCACATAAGCTTAAACTTTTGGATAAAGTAGTTATCAATGTGGTACCAGGGACATGATTGAGAACTTCAGCAAGACATTTAAATTATATTCATTTAGGCCTTTCCTGGAGAGACATTTTTAAATTGAGACTTTTCCACATGGCCTGAAAGTCCGCATGACAGAATAGTATGTTGCTAGCATAGATCATGCATCATGGTAGTGTTGGTTACCTATCAGCTTAAGCTTGTCGATTTAGTAGGTACCTGATAAGTATGCTCTTATATAATTTTGATCCAAAATTTTTATGGTTCCGGTTTGTAAATAACTTTTTTTTATTTCTAGATTGAGGAAGAGAAGTACATAGGCAGAGTTAAGTGGAAATATTAGCAAGTTTGTCCTAAATTTTATGCTTTAACAACTTTCAGGGTTTGTTGGAGGCACGGGTTGAACTTCGACCTCTGTTGCTCAACTCCCATGAGCGTCTTAAGGATCTTATTTTTTTGGATATTGCCCTTGATTCTACAGTGAGGACCGCTATTGAGCGGGGATATGAAGAGCTGAACAATGCTAAACCAGAGGTTCTTCACTCATTCCCCATTATAATCTCACTAGTAGTACTAGAGTAATTTTGTTACTTTTGTTTCTTTCATTTACTTGTGCTTTTGTTTTACAGAAAATTTGCTTTTGATTTTTGTTTCAGAAAATTATATATTTCATCAGTCTATCTCTTGAAAATCTTGCTCTATCGACCGATGATAATGAAGATCTATTATACTGCATTAAGGTATGTCTTTGTAAATTGTTGGTTAGCTTCTCATCTCAGTAATTGTCCTTCATTTTCTTGAGGTTTCTATATGTTACCATACCATGGAGAAATATTGAATCTCTTCAAGGCCACATATAACTTTTGTATGCATAAAAGGTGATTGAGGCACATTTTTGTTTATAGTCCACATTAGCCAAATAGCCTACAATGCACTATTGTTTCCTTTGATTAGCCCCCTTGAGCCTATGAGCCTAATTTTGTTGATTAAACCCACATATGTAACCTTCAAAATCCGATTGTATCCCTTACCCATTGTCTAAGCTAGTGGAGCACAATTTATGATATAACGGGTTATGTGAGCAATGAAATGTAAGATTGGGGGTGTGAAAGTAGGTGTTTGCTTCTTTTATACAAAAAAAAGAAAAAAAAAGAAATGAAATTGAGAAAAAAAAAGATGAATAAAGTGTCCTCTTTATGGTGTATGTAATTGCGGGTGTCGAAAGAATTTATTATGGCATACTAAAAGGAGTAGTTGGAAGAAGTTCTTTAATAGATGATGGAGTTTGTGTAGATGTCATTGATCTTACTTTGAGATATAATCTTTTGCAATCATAGCTCCACTAGTGATAGGCTTTCAATCAATCCCAAATATCTATCCTATCCTTTTGACCCTAGCCCCATTACAACCAAATAAAAGACCTCATGATTTTGTTGCATGCATTAGTTTTCGAAGTGGTGGAGAATTGAGATGAAATGCAAGCTTATGGATTGAATACATCCATTCGGAAGAATTTTGAGCGATACAATCACATCCTTAAACACATGAGAGATTGAGAGTCCACTTATCCTAAAGTGAGGTCTACCAATTTAACTACCTGAAGGTCTCAATTTTAGTACTTCGGGATTGAAGCTAGTTACATGAATTTCTTTTTTCTACTTTGATTTGAGAAAATGCAAGCTTATGGATTGAATACATCCATTCGGAAGAATTTTGAGCGATACAATCACATCCTTAAACACCTGAGAGATTGAGGGTCCACTTATCCTAAAGTGAGGTCTACCAATTTAACTACCTGAAGGTCTCAATTTTAGTACTTCGGGAGTGAAGCTAGTTACATGAATTTCTTTTTTCTACTTTGATTTGAGAATTGGATAGGATGGGTATCCTTGAATTGTGACGCTTGTGATCGTAAATAAATTTTGAAATGTGATTTTGTTGAGAGTTCGGAAATTAATTTGTTAAGTCCCGATGAAAAGTATTTGTTTTGTGATATGTTTGATATTGGTTAAAGGATTGATGAGGGGGTAATCCCTACTCTATTTGGTTTTCACTCCTCCTAATTTTTATTGTTTATTTGCTTGAGGACAAGCAAAAGTCTAAGCTTGGGGGAGTTGATAAACACGTAAAATATGCATTATCTTAGTGTGTTTCAAGCATGATTTACGAGCGTTTGATGCATATTTCGTGTTTAGATCGAGGATACTGCTGTTGTTTGTATTTTTATATGTAGGTATTGGCTCAAGATTGAAAGATTTGATGATCGTTGGAAGTTTTACAAGAGTTTGAAGCAACAACAAGATTTTGAAGACATGGTTCGTGAAGAAAATGGATGCACGAGTATCAAGAACTGGAATTTCGACCATGATTCAATTTGAATCAAGAAAAACTCAAAAGATGAAAGTTGTAGATCTCTTCAACAGGATTCCAATGCAACTTGAATCACCTCATTCCGAGGTCGGGCGCAAAAGTTATAGCCAAAATACCGAAGACTGTACAGACAAGCACGAAATCAGCAAAACAGCCCCTACCACACCCTGGTGTGGTGCAGACCACACCGGTGGCGCGGAAAGACGGGTTAATTCTTTCCCCTCTTTGATTTATTTCTTCTTATGATTGATTTGCATAATTATTTGATGTCTTCTCTTATTCCAATCATGTGTGAGTAGATTTCTTGTCTAGGATTGGGAAAGAACCTAACTTTTTGGTGATTGATGATGAATTGATATAGGTTCTTGGTGAAAGTTTAAATCTTTGAACTTGATTTCTTGTGTTTTAATCTTGTTGATTCGCTTGATCACCGGATTAGCAATCATAGGTAATTAATTGAAGGACTGAAAGGTGAAGATTAATACCGGATCTCTAGAGATTAAGCAGGGAGCTCGAACCACGAAAGTAGGCTAGATTCCTTGGGGATTTGATTTGGATTAGCATAAAGCTTAATGGGTTTAACTTAATCTTAATTCCACGAAAGTAGGTTAATTGAGATTAATTAGGCACGATCTTTAGACCTTGAGAGAGGCTTTAGATTAATTTAGGCTAATTCACCCTTTTTAGTTTAAACCAACACCGAGAACTAAAATAATTCATCATTGAGCATCGAAGTTGTGGTGAAAACCCAATCCTGACTCTTCATTATATTGAATTTCACCTGATTAGTTATTATTTTATTTCTTTTAATTTTCATCTCTTCTAATTTACTCATTAGTTTAGCTAGTCTAATAACGTGAAATTTGGTAATTAACCCTAGTCCCTGTGGGATCGACCTTGATAGCTACAACGAGTCTGTGCGCTTGCAGATTTTGCCCATCAAAGCTCCACTACGCTAGCGAGCTAACAAAGCTCGTCTGACATAATGAACCTCGCCTGCTAACGAACTTCGCCTAACAAGCAGAGCTTGCCTGATTGAGCAGAGCTCGCCTGACAAAGCAAAGCTAGCCTGACTGGGCGAAGCTCGCCTGACAGAGCGAAGTTCGCCTGAACAGCAGAACTTCGCCAGAATTGAAGAAGCTTGCTAGAAGATGAACAACTCATGTTCATCTTCTTAGTTTTGTCCATTGTTCATTAAACCTGCCTGAAGACAGCGGTGGATTGCCGGCGACGGCAGCGACAACGCCAGAGGCGGCGGAAGAGAAAGCCTTCTTCTTTCCCTTTGATGCAAGAACTTTTCTTGATGTCATTTCTGTTTCGAGAAGAAGTCGAAGAAAGCTGAGATCTTTTTCTCAAAGAACTCAAATGAAATTTTTTCTAAGTGTGCAGAAGTCTCTCAGGGAGGGAGATGAAGCCTTTATATAGGCATGAATCAATGGTTGAGATTTGCTATCTCAACCGAAGCGGCCCGGATCGAACGAAACGGTTCGTATTCGATTGTTCAAAACGAATGGTCGAGATTAATTATCGGATCCGACGGTTCAGATCTGATTTTCAAGCATCAAAACGCTTCAAATTCAAACGAGCGGCTGGGATTCAAGCGGCTAAGCTGAACGGCTGAGATTAACCTCAGAAACAACTTTGAAATTCAACCGAAGCAACGGCTCAGATTGAGCGCGTGAAAATGAGGACGCTTCGTCAGATCGCATTTAATGCGATCTGACGCGCCATCGCCGCCTTAGCTGGCAGACGTCGAGCCTCGCCTGCAAGCACGTGACTTGCATGCCACTATTTGGACCTCACCTGCAGTTGTCTGACTCGTCCGCAAGCACGTGACTCGCCTGTCGTTATTTGAGCTCACCTGCAGACTCAAGCTCGTCTAGATGCTAAGTTCACCTAAACACTTAGCTTGCCAGACTTCATTGAGCTCGCCTAAAAAACTCAACTCAACCAAAGTGATCGAGTTCACCAGTAAGGCACCTGACTTCGCCTGAACCAATGAGCAGTGATCATTTTCATTCAAAGTATTCCAGACCCCATACAACCTGGTTCAGGTCTGAAAACTTTGAAGGGGGTTTTGTCGGCAATAAAAATTGTCTTTATCCTAAAATTTAGAAGTTCGCATGTAGGACTTCGCCTGCATGCTCAAGATCGCAAGAACAAAGCCCATTTGGCTTGTTCGCCTGCATCAAACAAGCTAAGTCAAGCTCACCTGAACGCTTGACTTCGCAGGGGAAGCAAAGTTCACCTACCCAGTAGACTTCACCCTAAAAGAACTGAGCTCGCCTGAACGTTCAATTTGCCATCTTGTAAATTAGCTTGCCTGCAGGAGGTTCGCCCGCACGAGCCAAGCTCGCCAACAGGGTTTAAGCTCGTCTGAACACTTCTGAGGTTCGCATGACAAGCTCGCTTGTTCGCGTAGCTCGCCTACAAGCTCGTTTGAGCATTCAACCTGCGCACTAGCTCGCGTAGCTCGACTGAGCGGTTAAAATCACTTCCCGCTATTTGAGGGATTTGAGTATGGTTCTCCTTAGCTATAGTTGTGGGAATAATCACTTCCCACAATTTAAGGGAATAGTTATGATCCTCCTCAACTATAATTGCAGGAATTGTCACTTCCCACAATTTAAGGGATTGGCCATGACTCTCCTTAGCTATAAATAGCCATATTCGGCAACATGAAGGGGGAGAAGGGCTCTCGGACTGATCTTAATTTTGGATCATCTTTGAGATCGCATTCTTGGCATCTTGCTGGAACTCTTTTGGCAACCGGTCTTTTGGGAGATAAAAGAACCGAATTTTGCCTCTTGAGCATTCGACCTTGATACCAAGCTCGGGTGATCGAACTCTTCATCTCAAGTTTCTACCACGCGTTTAAACTTGCCCGCAATCTCGTTCAAATCATCTAAGGGAAGCAAATTTGGCACAAACATCGAGGGATGCATCATATCGCTACCAAAGAACCCACGTTAAACAAGGAGAGATGAAATCAATTCTCTTCGCTTCTGTGTAAAAAGTGATTTATTGATTTGTAATACAATTTCAATTAATACAAATTCAGAATCAAATTTTACGACCTACAGACCATTCAGAAACTGGAGTTGTGCGCAACTTCAGTTGGCCTTCATACGTAAGAGATAAGGACGGAGCCACACTATGAGAAAGATATTAAATTGAAGAAAAAGATTCTCCGGGTAGGAGAAGGTGCTTGCTAAGTTGAAGAGAGCTTGTTGACGGATGTTTGGTCTCCAAGTGGGAGATTATTGGTTTCGGGTGTAGACCCAAACCTTAGAACAAGCATGCAAAGCAAAGATTTCTCTAAGTTAAGAAATCAAACGAGCTTGATAGTTCAGCCGCACTTTGAAGTTTAGGCGAAGCTCGAAGCTGGGTTCAGGTGAACCTGCAACTCAGGTGAGCTTTGGAAGTTCAGGCAAACTTGGAAGATCAGGCAAGATTTGGAGGTTCAGGCGAACTCCAAGTGTAGGCGAGCTCCAAGTGCAGGCGAAGCAATTCAGGCGAGCTTGACTATGTTCAGACGAACATAAGTCATACAGGCAAGCTTCGTAGTCAGGTGAACTCGTAGAAAACAGATTGCTAATATGTTTTGACCTAGGGTTTTCCTATAAATAGGGTACCCTTGTCGCCACTTAAACTTAACTTTGGTAGAGCGATTTCCTGTAGCGATTTTTCGCGGCGTTTTTGTTGCGCCTTGAGCAGCGATTTTTCAGAGAAAAATCTCGCGCCTATCTCACTAAAAAGAGAGTTCTTTTTTTGAGTGATCTCAAGGAGTTTGAGATCATCTCTTGCAAGTTTTGTAATCTTCTTTAATATTCAAAGGAAATTATTGTGTGGCTACTGAGGACGTAGGCAAGTTACTGAACCTCGTTAAAATTTTGGTGTTCTCTCTTTTATTTTTCTTTGCAAATTTTTCTTTTATTTGCTGTGATTTCTTCTTGCCTTCTTTCGACACAAGATCCAAATGGCACGTTTCGCAAGAGGGTTCATTTGACATGTTGTCGATAGGACGAATCGCCCAACAACTAAGATAGTCTTTTAACAGTAATAACTTATAAGTGACCAAAACATAAGTTAGAGAACCCAACTTATATTTTTCCTACTTATAACTTAAAAATAGGTAGCAATAAAAAAACTTAAAAATAAGTAATAAGTAAACCCTTATCAAACATAATCTTGGCACCTTAAGTGCAAACAGATACTTCAAAGAGAAAATAAGTATGTTGCCAACCATGCTCTTAATAGCTTTATTTAACTTATATTAAGCTAGTAACCATGAAGTTTATTGAGTAATCAGGACTACTCAACAAAAAACCAAAAAGCTGGTGGCCAAGATTTGTTGATATTGGAGACTTTAGAGATATGAATGTCGGTGTGAAGGAAAAACAAACACCAATATTAAAGGGTTGGACAACAGACAACAAAGATAATTCAGCTGTACAGCCGACGAAATTTCTTTTACTACCACCATCAAATCTTTTAGATATATAATTAGGTAAATCACAAAATTACTGAACTTGTAATACATCAGCTCACTTGTAAGCTGATTTAGCACGTCCTAAATACAATGATACAGAAGCAATTGCAGAGGATATCATGGATACAAGAGGAACAAGAAACGACCTTAAATAGATGATTGCACCAGTATAGATGGAAGTTATGGAAGATTTGAACAATCAGGGCACAGAATGCGGCCTTGAGACTGACATTTGATGCATGGACTTGAGCTGGTTGAGTCTCGACCATCTCCAAGAGACTGAAACAAATCATCCATCATGCTGAAACCAAAAGGCCCTCCCTTCTTTACTGAGCCCACTCCTTTGCATTGTGAGCAAGCGACCATCCTAAGGTCACCACACCTCTTACACATACCCAAGGCACTGCACGCAATAAACTTAGCTGAAAGATGGAAAATTTTAGACCCCTACAGGCACATCCCACTCTAGGTAGAGGATGCAGGGTTAGTCAACAACTTAGCAAGAGCTCATTTTTCTTTTCTTTTAGGAGAAACAGATATAGCCACTATACTTAAAGGAGAATTCAAAGGATTACTGTTCATGCTACTGCAAATACTTCAGCATGAATAGCAAACAAAATCTGATCCTACGCACACTAAGTTACTGTTTATACTACAGTACATTTTAATGTAGCATAAACAGTAAATCAAATCTCTTCCTTCATACTTGTAGTTACTATTCACGCTACAATATTTATTGTATTATAAACATTAAAGCAAATTAAATGTATTAAAACTTGGTTCTTTCTTTAAGTATAGAGGAGTAGATATGATTTCTAAATCAAATGTATTAAAACTTGGATTCTTTTTTAAGTATAGAAGAGTAAATATGATTTCTAATTTTAAACATACAATAATTAAATCAAATGTATTAAAACTTAGAGAGAGGCAAGTTTAAAATGCAGTGCTTCAAAAAATAGGGGGTCGTGCTTTGCAGGGGGTGCACACTAGTTAAGTGGAATTCAAACGCAAGACCTCTTGCATAATAGTGTAGCTATAGGCTTTCTCTTAGGTACAAATTACAATGGAATTCACTTGGAGAATGTTGGAACTTGCTTACAGGTACTAATATTTAGATGTTTATATACACGCAAAAGCAGGATTGAAACTTCTTAGACATTGTAAAATAAAGCGGGGGAATCTAGAATCGTAGCTAGTACAAAGGTACCATACAGCCTTTGTACACATTAGTAATTTAAAATAATATACAGATAATACCCTTTAAGCAGAAGCATTGCTGTGGGAGAAGATTTAACTCTTTTATTGCGCAATAACCTAACAAAGTTCATTGGTGACCACTGACTACAAGTGAAAAACAGAGATAAATACAAGACGACTAACATCTGTGATCAATGATAAAATCTCCAATCAGTTAGCTATAAGTTACTTAAAATGATTTCAATAAAAAGCTAATGCATATTCTTGATTGTTCCATGAGCATGAAAGAAAACAGTTTTAATGGACAAACTAATATCAGCAACTTCTGCTATATCCAAGGACAATAGGTCATTATGTTGTAACAAGTTATAACCTAATAAGTAGAAATTCATGATCATCAAATGAATTTTGCTAATGGTTCAACAGGTGAATGATCTCCTAAGCTTAAAACTGAACTTCACTTCCCATAGTATCAGCGTGGAAATCCAGTATCAAGTGAATACAATTGAAATGCAAAGGATGAACAAAAAAAAGGACAGTGAGATTTATAGTCAAGCAACCTCCTTTGAGAAGCTGAGATGAAAGCATCCACCTTTGGTGCAGCAATTGTGGCACATAGAAGTATGGTACCAACTCCTAGACCCGCAATCTCACTTGCCGTGATGTTATCCATACGTTGACTCAAAAAATTCTCTAAACTTAATCACCTAGAAACATATAGAGATTAGTTACCGTTGCAAACATCCGTTAATGTGAAACCACCCTATAATGAGCAAGCTATAAATTTGATATAAGTTCTCTACCTCATTTCAAAGATAAAAAGTAAACAGCATGATCATACTAGAACTCTTTACATTATAGTTTTCTTTTATTAAAACAAAGTAAATAACTTGGAGCAGACATTTCTACAAGCACATTAACTGCACCATAGCTAGTGGAACGAACCTGAATACTTGAACATTAATCAACTCCTATATAAAACTCTTACAAAATCCACAACTAAAATGGGCTAAAAACCACTTTTTCCACAATTTTAGAAAAAGGAGTGGTAGGTTAGTAGGGAAATTTTAAAAAAACTAATTGCATAATTGAAGAAAATGGAGGATGTAATTGATGGGTTTCGAGTTAAGTGTAAATTACAATATTCCCAAAATTAATTAAGAAAATTTAGCGCTACAAAGTCCAATGAAATGAGAAAACAGACAATAGTATAGTTGCATAATTAAAAAAAAAACCTAACCTTCGTCATTCTACAAATTCTTCTTTATGGAACAAAGGAAGCAAGTAGGGAAGTATCATCGGATATAATTTAATTTACCTTTGGAAGTTGCTTCGTCTCCGATACCGAGTTCCAGATGAGCAACAGGAAGAATCAGAGGGATAAAAGACTTCATATTTTTATTATTAGCAAAAAAAGAAAATTACTTTTAATAAGTAAAATTTGAAGTCAAACGATTATGTTAGGCCTACTAGCTCAGTTGGATAGAGTGTCGTGCCGCAAACGATAAGGTCACAAGTTCGAGACCCTAACGGACAACATTTAATCTGTGTTTTTGGGGGTTTTTACATCAAAACCATTCTTTTCAGCTCAAGAAGCACGTGAAATGCCGATTTTCACCTTTAACTGTAGCACATGCAGAGCACGTGTGCCTTAATTAATTATTGAAACAATGAATTTTTTATATTAGTCCACGAAATCTTTCATTCTATCGTGTTACTGATGAAGCTAGAAGACACTCTGGAACAAACTGAGATAACACAGTTCAACGAAGGCATTGAAGGAGAAATTGCACTCACAGAGAATTTTTCATTGATTGGATACTACTCTAAAACAACCAGACACTTGCTTAAATAAGTAAACAACGTAACAGACTCAAACAAATTATCCTAAAGATAAGATGAATCCCGCAACCAACTGTGCAGTTGATTGACCGCTTCTCTCGGCCCGGCTTGCATCCCCTGCACGCGTGACTCGGGCGTGATTCTAGCAAGTGCCTTAGTCAGAATATCAGCACGTTGTTCTTCAGTACTCACATGCTTGACAACGATTAGTTCCTTTTCCACGCACTCTCGGATGAAGTGGAAACGAGTATCGATGTGCTTACTGCGTCCATGGAACACTGGATTCTTCATTAAAGCTATTGCAGACTTGTTGTCGACGTAAAGAGTGACTGGCTTGGGCTTACAACCAGTCGCCTCGCTGATCAAACTCCTCAGCCACAGTCCCTGACAAGCTGCTACAGTTGCTGCCATGAACTCGGCTTCACATGAGGATAATGCTATAGTTCTCTGCTTCTGAGGTTCCCAAGTGATCAGATTCTCGCCGAGGTAGAATGCCATGCCACTAGTACTTCTTCTGTCATCGACATCCCCAGCTAGATTGCTATCAGTAAATCGCACCAACTCCTCAACTTCATGTCATTTTCCATACACAAGCCCGTAGCTAATGGTTCCCTTCACATACCTTAGGATTTGCTTGACCGCCTGGTGATGCATGGTAGTAGGCCTCTCCATATACTGACTCACTAACCCGACGGAATAAGAGAGATCCGGACAGGTGTGAGTCAAGTACCTCAAGCATCCGATGACGCGCCTGTATTCCGTTGGATTCACCAATGTTCCATTAACATCCTTTCCGAGTTGCAGCTTTGGTTCCATGGGGTATTTTGTCGGGTTGCATTCGCTCATCCCAAATTGCATTAGTACCTTCTTGGCATAGGCCGACTATCTTAGTGTGACACAATCCCTTCTCTGGTCCACCTCGATTCCAAGGTAGTAGGAGAGTAATCCAAGGTCACTCATCTCAAACTCCTCCATCATCTGCTGCTTAAACCCTTTTATCTCACCCACACTCGTGCCGGTGATAATCAAGTCATCAACATACACTCCGATAATGAGTGTGTCAGCTCCATTGCTTCTTGTATACACCGCCTGTTCTTGTGAACACCTCACGAACCAAAGGCCCTTCAAACTCTGGTCTGATCGTTTGTTCCACGCCCTTGGTGCTTGACAAAGGACGTAGAGAGCTTTGGACAACTTGTACACCTTGTGCTCTTGGTTCTTCACGATGAAGCCTTCAGGTTGAGCTACATACACTTCTTCTTGGAGATCACCATTTGGAAACGCTGATTTGATGTCCAAATGGTGCACCTCCCATCCTCGCTGAGCCGAAAGGGCAATGATCAATCTGACGGTGTCAAGTCTGGCCACTGGTGCGAAGACCTCCTCAAAATCAACTCCTTGCTGTTGAACGTACCCCTTTGCCACAAATCTTGCTTTGTGCTTGAGGGTGTTGCCTTCGCTATCCTTTTTCAGCTTGTAAACCCATTTTAGTCCAATGATTTTGTGACCGGGTGGCAGCTCGGTGAGCTCCCATGTCTTGTTCTTCTCGATGGCCTCCAGTTCTCTCTTCATGGCTTCCTTCCATTCTTTCACATTTGCGGCTTCTTGATAGGTCGCTGGCTCCTCGTCAGCTAGTAGCAATAGCTCATCGTCACAAATCTCTTCATAAATGTCAGCAAGTGAATGATATTTCACATTCCCATCATCAGTAGACGAGGAAGCAGAACTCCCCGGAGATCCTTGGACAGTTGACGGTGAGGCTGGAGCTGACGCGGCCAGCGGACTCAGAGATGATGACGATGTTGCACCCTGTGTCAGTGACTCCGTGGGAACGCCAGGAGTAAAGGGCGTCTGCTCCCCAGCTTCCGTGTGACTGACTGCTACTCTGTCACCATCAATGGGCTCCTCGACGGTGAACGTGACCCAAGCCTGTGGGTCATTTTTCTCAACTTCACTCCATTCCCAGCTTCTTTCTTCCTCAAAGACAACATCATGACTCACGTGAATCTTGCCATATCAGGGATCGTACATCCTATGCGCCTTGCTTCCCGCTTCTACTCCAAGGTACACCATGGGAATGCTGCGGTCGTCGAGCTTCTTTGTATGTACGTTCGGTACCTTGACATGTGCAGTGCACCCAAAAACCCTTAGGTGCTCCAGATGAGGCTTCCTGCCCGTCCATGCCTCATAGGGAGTTGTGCTAGCCAAGGCTTTCGTCGGTACTCGATTGAGTATGTAGACAACATGCCTCACCGCCTCCCCCATCATCTTTGCAGGCACACGCATGCTCTTCAGTAAGCTCCTTGCCATTTCTAGGATAGTACGATTTCTTCGTTCAACAACGCCATTTTGTTATGGCGTGTATAGCGCTGTCAAGTGCCGCTGGATGCCTTCTTCTTCACACAAAGTCGTGAACTGTTGAGACAAGAACTCACCACCACGATCAGTTCTCAACACCTTTATCTTGTGCTCAACCTCCTTCTCGATCAATGTCTTGAACTTCTTCAACACCCCAAATGCTTCACTCTTCAGCCTGATCATGTACACCCACATCATCCGGCTATAGTCGTCAACAAGGAGGAGGAAGTATTTGTTGTCGGCGGGTATCTCCGGTATTATCGGTCCGCACAAATCCGCGTGTACTAACTGTAGCGGGTGTTCGGCTCTGAAGTTCGCCTGTGAGGGGAAGGCATTCCTAGTTTGCTTTGCACAAGACAACCCTCGCAAATCTGCATAGGATGATTGATCTTAGGGATACCGTGTGCCATTACTCGATCCCTCATCATCTTGAGTGCCTGGAAGCTCACGTGCCCAAGCCTCGCATGCCACAACCAAACTGGATCCTCCATGCTTGCCGTCAAACAAACAGGTTCACATGTTTCTAGCAAAACTTTGTAAATCCTGTTGGGGGATCTCTTGACTTTGATCAACAATCTCCCATTCCTATCATATATACACAGAAATGCTCCACACATAACAGTCCTACTGCCATCTTCAGAGAGTTGACCAAGACTAATAATATTGTTACATAGACTTGGTATGAAGTATACCTCCCGCAGTAGTCGTTGTTCACCGTTCTTGCATAGAAATAGGATGGATCCTTTCCCTTTGATTTGCACAGTCGAGCCATCGCCAAACTTCACCTGCCCGTGGATGCTCTCATCCAGGTGATTGAACATAGACCGCTAGCCTGTCATGTGGTTGCTAGCCCCATTATCCAGGTACCACACGTCAGACCCGACTGGTGCCTTCTCATCTGTCTGCAGCTTCAGAATAACATTCTTCTCATTCAACAACACCATGTTGCGCGCGCCCCCTGCGCACTCGGACAAGAGTAGTGCTGGCTCATCATCTAGAACACGGGTGAGATTGGTCTCCTCGTCTCGGTGCTTACTGCGACACTCCGAAGCATAGTGCCCGAAGTTGTTGCAGTTGAAGCACTTGATCATGCTCTTATCTCGGCCTCCTTCACGACCTCCGTTTGTTCCTTGGCGAGTACTAGTGCTACTGCCGCGACCTCCATTGCCGCGGCCTCGGCCACGACCACGGCCGCGTGAGTTACCATGCCCATGCCCGTGGTTGTTTTGAGAAAAAAATTCCTTTCCCCGTGATGACTTTGTGTCGGGTTTAGGATCTCCTCTTATTAGTAGTGCCTGTTCGTGCTGGTCGTCGTAGTCACGGTAGCGCTCCTCATGTGCCTTTAGAGCACCAATCACCTCGTCCACCTGCATGGTCTTGAGATCGCCGAACTGCTCCATAGTCGTGACGATCTGTAAGAACATTGGTGGCACACAACGGAGAAGTTTCTTCACCACATGGCTCTCCTCCATTGTCTCTCCAAGAGAACGTATCTGGTTCTAAGGGTAGTGAGCTTTGTAGTGAACTCATCCACCGACTGCGCATCGCCCATGCGCAGATTCTCAAACTCCCACCGAAGTGCCTGGAGTTTGACTTCTTTCACACGTTCCACACCAACGTGCATGGTTCTGAGTGCCTCCCAGACCTCACGGGCAGTCTCCTTGCCCGCGACTTGAAGCATTGTCTCCTCCGGGATCGCCTAGTAGATGACGGCGAGCGCCATCTGATCCTTCTTCTCGTCCACCGATTCAGCATCGTCAGTGGCCTCGACTGCCACCCAAACCCCGTGGGTGTGCATGTTGGCCTTCATCTTCATTACCCACGCTGGGTAATTCGACTTCGACAGCATCGGGTACTTGAGGGTTACCGAGCCCTCCCTTGCTGTTACTGTGTCGGTGAGCTCCTCGCTCCCACTCTGGGATTTGCTTGACAATGGCATTTGCTTCGGCATACCGGCTCTGGTACCACGTGATGAAGTTAGAAGACACTCTGGAACAAACTGAGATAACCCAGTTCAACGAAGGCACTGAAGGAGAAATTGCACTCACAGAGAATTTTTCATTGATTGGATACTACTCTAAAACAACCAGACACTTGCTTAAATAAGTAAACAACGTAACAGACAAACAAATTATCCTAAAGATAAGATGAATCCCGCAACCAACTCGTGTATCCCGCAACCAACTGTGCAGTTGATTGACCGCTTCTCTCAGCCCGG